GCACACTATTAATACCATCCCTCCTACCGACTGAAGAAGATATTTTGCGCAATAATCAGATAATCAAGGTGCCGGTGAAGACGCGCGGTTGGCATGTACGTGTGAAGAAGATCACGTCGCCCATGTTCGCGTGCTTGAGTGCGCTAACCAGTGACAATAAAAATAACGCCGAATGCGTGCTCACGTCAAGATCGCAGCCCGATTGTTCTGTCACTAGACTATTACTTATGTCATATTTTCCCAGTGGTTTTTGGTCCCGACTGATCACTCGGATCCTCGCGGATGATGCCATCGTCGATATCGTCATGTCGTTTCTGGCGCCATTCAAAGATTTTGTCGATGACAATATTTTCGCTAGTTTGCTAGATCTACAGGCCGAGTGGGTGCTCTGGCAGACGGGGATCGAACTGCGATACTCGGGCATTACCTTATTACGTCTAAAAGAAGTTTGCTATAATCTGAAGAACTCGCCGTACGATTACAGACAATTTAAGTTCAAGTTAAAACAAGACGGTATTTGGTGCACAGTGGACCTGAAAAATTCCGCCATTCTAGAAATTTGGTTTCCAGTAGATACTTTGGTGATTAAACAGCCCATCATGTCCGATTCTATGGATGAGGAACCGATGGGCTACCAAGCGATCGTGGTAGAGCCACGGCCAGAAAGTATGCCACAGTTGATGGCATTGATCGTCGATCACATCGACATCTTACTGGAAGATTGGTATCCGACACTAGGCACGCGTTTCGTCCACACATCGGAAGGTAAACTGCTAGTCACAAGATTGATACCGTGTCCGCGTTGTTTACTCGGCAACACCGAGAATGGCGATGGCGAGTCAAGCGACAGCGATGGCCGACTGATCGAAGACATCCAGAAGTACTGCGCCATGAATCGCACCGAAAGACAGAGTCAAGACAGCTACAAGTCCGACGGCGATAGCGGCGTCGGTTATGACAGTCTGACGTCCAGCAGAATGCCGTCACTCGAGGGACATCCGGATATGTCAAAGCAGCAGAACTCGAATCCCGAGAATACTCTTGCATACTCCTGGATGGTGGAGGAATGCATACTGGCAGCGTACAGCAACAAACCCATCAGTTGTCCGAAGCATTCAGAGATCCCGTTGTCGCACGTCGCGCCGGACATCATCTTCATGGATTTGGGCGTCAAACACCTGATTAAGTCGGAGGATTTGAAGCGGGGCAAGTTACTAGGTCGTGGCGCCTTTGGTTTCGTCTTTCGTGGCAGTTGCCGACTACCCGGCACGCATATCCGCGCCGACGTGGCCATCAAAATGTTGCAACCAGTCTCGCCGGGTCCAAATTCTACGCAGTCGGCAATCCTCGCATACAAAGCATCACAAAGTAAATGGGACCGTGACCCGCTGCAGTATGCTTGCAAAGCGTATTGTATGGCGCGTCAAGAACTCAATATTTTGCTAACACTCAGGCATACTAATATTGTGCCGCTGATAGGTATAGTCGTCAGTCCTCTGGCTCTCGTATTGGATCTGGCACCTCAAGGTGCGTTGGATGCTGTTCTAAAAAACTATCGTCGTTCCGGTGCTAAGTTGGATCCTTATACGCTTCAGGCGATAATCCTTCAGGTCGCTAAGGCTGTGGAATACCTGCATCAGCAACATGTCATTTACCGCGATCTCAAATCGGAGAACGTATTGGTGTGGCAGATGCCGTTACCATTTCAAGAGAATCCGGAACCGGCGCACGTCAAAGTCGCTGATTACGGTATTTCGAGACTGACGCTGCCTACAGGAGCGAAAGGTTTTGGAGGCACAGAAGGCTTTATGGCGCCTGAGATCATCAGATACAATGGCGAGGAGGAATATACGGAGAAGGTGGATTCGTTTTCGTTCGGCATGTTCATCTATGAGCTCATCACACTGCGCCAACCATTTGAGGGTCACGAGGCGGTGAAGGAGTGCATTTTGGAGGGCGGTAGACCACCGCTCATGTACCGTGAGACTTTCCATCCGTGCTACGCGCTCGATTTGATGGTGATATGCTGGGCACAGAACCCGAAGGATCGACCGACTGCCAGTCAGATTGTCTCAATTGCCTCCGCGCCCGAGTTTACGCATCTGATAGATGTCACTCTGTTGACAGAACGCACGCAGGTGACTGCGGTCACTATGACTAATCATTGTGGTAACGGCGGGTCAAATGATGCAACAGAGAGTCTAAACAGCGATGAGATCTGGTTCGGACATAATAACGGTGAGGTGGACATGCTGTTAGGTACTCAAAAGGGCTGGCTGCGCCACGTACGCATTGAAACACCTGTGATACCGTACGCCATGTGCGGCGTGGACGGCTATATCTGGATTGGTGACAATGCCGGTCAGATACACGTCTATTTATGTGGTAACTTTGGTTGTGTGGCCAGTTACAATCTGGAGGCAGATCATAGCCGGGAGTCTAAAGTAGTCGGGCTGATTCACCTGGAACAGTTGAAGCAATTTGCTGTGGCTTTGCACAGCGGCCGGATTTTTCTGCTATCCAACACGTTCATGCAGATGAAGAAGACTGAGGTCACCGGCGGCAGCAATGGCACGGAAATGACGCGCCACAATGCTGACGTCAAGACCTACTCGCTTGCCGCAGTCTGCCGCAAGAGACGTGTGCTGGAGCTCTGGGCTGGCCAAAGTTATGGCCGGATATCCATTTACACTCTAAAGGATGGCAACCTGGCTGACACGACGCAGCTGTCTCACTGCTCCGCCAATGACGCCGCGATGAAGAATCTGTTTGCCACGTATCTGATCGGTGTGACGACCGAAAGCTTCGTTTTCTCGTACACGTATCCAGGCTGCGTCGTATATCAATGGGACGTAGACAGCCGACAGATCATCAATAAACTCGACATGTCTAAACTGGTACCGTGTTCCGAGAGTCTCAAGTCCATCGCTATCGAGGAAAATTTATCGTCGGAAAAGTGTCAAGTAACCGCACTCGAAGCCAGCTGCGGTCAGTTATACATCGGCACTACCTGGGGCTGCATCGTCGTTGCCGAGTGCAGTACCCTTCGTCCCGTCACTGTGTTCCGGCCGTTCGAAGGCAAAGTCTGCCAGATTGTATCCCTCAAGTCCACCGACAAGAGGAAGACGGTACTGGCGACCGTCGGCCAGGGATATCGCAGCCTGATCGCGCGGTATACCGACTTCCCTTTGAAGAGTCTGGAGAACGAGGAACTCAGGCACGGTATGTACACCTTGCTTTGGAGATCGGAAAACTGGTCGGCAGCTTGATTCCCTCGGAGATCGTAAGGTCCACATCCTCAGGTGCATTTGGCGATCGTTTTTTAGCATTACACGCGATCCGTCTGACTTTATCTTATACAAAAATAATGATATAATAAATAAGCTACATTTAATGAACAGAATGCGTAGTAAGAAAACAGATCTACTCTGGTCCGGCGATTTTTCAATGAGTACCGATAGAAAGTTTTCATTACATGGACATTCGGTGCCAATATACGAGTGGTTATAATTCGGTATGGCGAAAATTCGAAGAACGATAAAGTTCGTGATGGGATCACACGGTTTTCTTCTTCGGCAACATAATACCGGAAGTGCTTAAATGGTGCGAGGTTCAATTGAGCAATATATGAGCTCAGCAGTGAATCTTATACGTCCAATATTATAGTATCTAGTACGTAAAGGATGTTGATTGCGCTAATAAGCGTGCTCGAGAAAGGAACCATATTTATAAAGATCGAAAAAGGAAATGACATTACAAGTCTCACGAAACTCGAGTTTTCCCACGAGTACTCTTATTAACGAACACCCTGCATCACAGGCTATAAGCTGATATTCTTTCGTTCGTCCAAATCACAGCATTACCAAGTATAAGAGAAAAACATTCTTATTTTGTATAAAACTAAATACTAAGCAAATAATCTAATGGTATTTTAACGTACGTTTCTGCTTGCGTAAGTATATAATCGGACTCTACGAGAGTCGCGCTATATAAATATATTATATAACTAATGGAAGAGATAACGTAATGCAATCTGTTTTTCGTCATTGCAAGACACGGGATAAAAGAAAAATGTTTTTCGAATATTAATTGATATTAGTTGGTTAGATAACAAAGAGCTATTTTTAGCATCATCAATATTACTTTTTATAATATCTCGTTAGTATTAAGATTTCGATAAGTTTTACTGCTGAAATTAACGTCGTAATCTTGAGTCGATATAGAAATACGATTTTTAAATCATACTATCTTCGCGATTTAGTTACATCACGTCCAAAATAATATCTTTCACTGCACTGTAAGTTTTTACAGAGATTAAAGCTGTTTTCTTTTTAGGAGACACGATCTCAAGTATCGTTTTATCTTTGTTATTCATTGAATGAGAAAAAAGAGGGTAGAATGAGGTTTGTGTCTTCTAAAAGGAAAGCAGCCTAACTCTAACCGAACCGAAGGTTGTGGGACATGATGTATAAATATATATTAACATTAATCTACATTCTACTACAATACTACAATACTACACATACACATTAGAAGCATCTTGCTCAATAAAATCATTAGTGCCTGTGTTTCCACCAATGTAGATTAATCTCAAACTTTTCATCTTTTTCTAAAAGCCAGTTTTCATCATTTCGATTAACTTAATAGGCCAATTATTTCATTGAAATTGACTATCACAGTTGACACTTAATCGATCAAGTTAATATTACAGCCAACTCTATCTCTTAAAATTAGCAAAAGATGAAGAATAAGTTGAACCGAGATTAATCTTTATTGGTGGAAACGGGCATAGATCTCGACTCATTTTATTTAATTATAGGAATAATCAGTGTATCCCAAACGTAATCGATGTGATATGAAATACTCAGTGAAAAAAAGAACGTAAAATATTGTCATAAAAAAGTTGTTATATTATTTTTAATTATAATGCTCTTTAATTACACTTATCGATAAGTTCTTCTATTTACTAGAAATTTTTTTTTGCTTGATAGATATTCGTTTCTTCTCTATATATTTAAGCATTTTTTATATCTTTCAATAGCTTATAGCAATAAAATAAAAATGGAACGTAACATTGTAATACAATACAATACATTTGCACATTAAATTCGCCCGTAACTCATTTAAACGAGAAGCGGCATTTAAAGGGCTAAATGGATATTATCTTTAGGAAATGTGATGTGGGTTGGCCGAAAATATTTTCAATAACGTACGATGTGTACATCTTTGGCTGTTATTCTCAAACCGACGCGTTCGGTGCACTGATTCTATATCTTTAATTTATATGCAGCGTATTTTATATTTATTTTTTTAACTTTGCTGGTACCTGCAGCGCGTAAAGCGAATCACAGTGATATACGCAGCTTATATCCCCTTTTTTATAATATGACTATTGTAAAGAAATGTGATTGAAGTTTGGAGTGTTCATAAAGCGAAGATTAAAAGTACGTCCAAACTAAACAGACAGACAATTGATCTCTCGTATGTACGTATGATCGAAAATGTTCTATGCTTGTTTGGAAAATAGGATAATGTCTGAAATCATTGACGGTAGAAAAAAAATAATTTGTTGAGATTCCGTACCCTGAAGGGCTCCAAATAATTAAAAAGTCCCGCGCATACCCCTGTATGTGCGATCACAAATTTCCTACGTTTGTCCCGGCAATCGGTGTCAAAATCTACAAGTGCGAGAGCAATGCCTAAAATCATTGACGCATCAAACTTCAATCACAGTAAAGGAATAGAAATTATCACCCTATACAATTACCCTGCATTCGTTTACGCAGCGGTTAGTATTACTTTATCCTTGTTGTTCACAGAGTGTTAAACAAGGATTAAATGATACTCTGCGCTAACCGCTGCGTAAACGAATGCACCCTTATTGTCACATATGCCTTGGAATATGATTAATGTTGTGTAACGAATAATTAATTATTGCGACTGAAAATTCTATGCGATTGATCTCCGTACATTAAGTATATCATTGTAAATTCATGTTTACTCATCGTGAGAATCATTATGGTTATCATCTCATACTTACCGACATAAGTTATAACTTTGCAGAAACTCATTGTTATTTAATGTATTGATTGTCACGAAATATAAACACTGTTGTTGAACAAGACTCGTTAATTATATCTACTTCTATCAGTATCACAACAGTAGGATAGCATTTAACACAGATATCAGATGTTAAATAATGAGATCTTTATTTACAACAGAACTTATGGTAAGAATATATTTTTCTAGTCACTTAAGAGCTTCTGGATGAATTGGAACTTGATTCATTCTCCTTCCTCGATTCTATTTTTATTTCCATCTCAGAAACGTACTGCTTCATCGCTCGCTCGTATGCTTTATCTTCTGACAATTCTTCCTATCAATTAAATGTATTCTTAGTATTATTGAAAAATTAATTTAATCGATAGATTGAATAATTTACCTTGTTTATCTTTTGGTACATGGATAGAAAGTTCTGCGTTGCAGATTTTACATTTTCGTTTGCCAAATTAGTAGCTGGTATAAATTTCTGATCTTTATGAAACCTTCTGTAACAGAAAATATATTTACATAGCATAATATAAATATTTTATTGAACATATTAAGATATGTCTTACGATCGAATAAGATCCTCTTCGTAAAAGATAGGTGTAACTGGTTTCTTTGGCAACCGTCTGTCGAATTTCGGTTCGTATTTCGGGGGAAAAGCTTCATACACTACCAACCACAATGGCGCGTCTTCCTCTTTTATACCTTTGCCTTTTAATAATGAAGCAATTCTGAAATATATTCCATTATATAGTGCAGACATTATTAGAAAATGCTTAGATCATTCATTTTTAAAGTATAAGAACCTAGATATGATGAAAAGCACAAGCATAATAAAAAATACAGATAATAAGAAGTTATAAAGGAACAAGGAATAACACACAATAGATTTCAAGCTATCAGAAACTGTGTACCAATGCACAGTAATTTTTGGTAGATTGAAATTTATCGTGTATTATTCCCTATTTCATGGGCATGCATTCGAAATATTTTTATTTAAGACACATTATTTGCAATATAAGTATATTTTATATTTTGTATTTCAGTGGAGCATATAAAAGTATTATGTATTTTGTATTTAAAATGGAAAGATTAAAAGCTTTGTATTTTGTAATTTAAATAATAAGAATATCAATCTTAGTATTCAAAATACAAAATACTTCCAATCTTTTGCTATTAATGCTGAGATACAAAATACTTTTATATGCTTTCATAAAATACAAAATATATTTTCAAGTGCTCTACTGAAATATAAAATACAAAATACTATTGTCTTATAAATACTATTTTTCAAATAAAGATTTTTTTAAATACATACCCTACCCTATTTGTATTTCTAATAACTGAGTTTTTCATTGTGTTCTAAGACCATTAACACTTGTAGATTTAAATTCTAAAGAGAAGTGCTAAAGAGAAAACTTGTAGACTTAAATTCTAAAGATGATGTGATGCATAAACAATTTAATATCAAGATAATATCTCTAATTCAAGATAAAATAATAAAACATTGATTTCTCTGCAGTTTCTTTACAACTATTAGTTTAATTTCTAAAATAACTTTGAATGTGGACTCACCGGGTATATATAGAGCCAATTTTCTCTAGTCTGCTTTGTGCCATCGTGTATTTCTCTGACGTTTCCACGAACGGATTGAAAACAAAACCAAGGGTCAACCCGCTTAACTTTGCAAACTGGACACCCACAAACTAAAACATAACCTTTCAAGCATACCGTCTAAACATATCGTCGCCATTTTTAAAACGTTACAGTCCGAGAAACCTGACAGCAAATTTCCTAGAAATTACATGTGAAACAACTAGGGTTTTTTCGGCGCAACGATTTAGCTCGCATGTGTTTTCCCGCGTAAATGGCAGAGAATGTCTTGGAATAGCTTCTCTTTCAAAGGGTTTTGGATTTCTCAGGTATTTATTTTACGAGAATTTACAGCACGATAAGTGTCGATTGCCCACCGCAAAAATGGATACGGAATTCGATCAGAATCTGGAGCAGATAACGCGCGAATATGTTGACTTTCTGGATGATGTGGTAAGTATCGTCAAAATTTGTTGTTTATAACGCTTACTTGGCTACAATTTTTAATTGTATTTTAATCCTCTGTAATAAATTTTTTTGCTTATGGAAAAAATACGTAGTGTGGTAAATGAAAAATAATTAATAAATCCCTATAAGAAATAAGTACGTAGATGAGTACGTAACTTCATCCTTACTTCCAAGTCACATGGCGTTATTAGAAGATTAAATGTCACAATTTACTAAGATGATGTTTGCTTTTGATTGATACTTTTATGAAATCCTTTGTGCTCGTTATTTTTATAGGAAGACCAAAGCATATATGCCACTTTGATTAAGAATATGATGCAGGAAGATAAAAATAGATTAGTCGTAAACATTAATGACTTAAGAAGAAAAAATCCTGCCCGTACAGCAAGGTAATATAATAGATTTGTCTCTTTAGCTCTTACCAATATACAGCATGAACAAATTGTATAAACTAAAATATTAAAGGTAATTATAAGAGTAAATTGTGTTGCAGTTTGTTGAATAACTCCTTCGACGAGCAATTGGCATTTCAGAACGCCCTGAAACAATATATCTCAAGCATAGACACTGATTATACCAAGAGCAACAAAGAGTTCTTTGTAGCTTTTGAGGGCAGCTTTGGAAACAAGCATGTCACACCGAGAACGCTTACCTCTCGTTTCCTGGGTAACTTGGTGTGTATGGAGGGTATCGTCACAAAATGTAAGTAGTAGAGAAAAGTAAAGAATTTAATTTCTGCATAGAATTATAGAATTTATCTGATTGTGAGTTTGTTCATATAATCTTGTATTAATAGATTTGTTCGTGTGTTACATTTGTCAAGTTTTATGAAAAATTTATATTTATGAAAATAACATCACATTTATGAAATAAAGATACTGACAGAGCGAATTTAATTTTTGCTCAGACTTATTTATAGAATTTATTAGATTCTATTTTTTTATAATTCTCCTTTAATAGATTTATTCATGTGTTAAATTTGTCAAGTTTTTTATGAAATTTATATTTATAAGAATAACATCATTTTTTAAATGAAAATGTTTATCGTAGGTTCATTAGTACGACCGAAAGTTGTAAGGAGCGTCCATTACTGTGACGTGACCAAAACAGTCCTGGAAAGAGTCTATTCAGATCTAACTTCCTTGGAGGCATTTCCTCACTCTGCTGTCTATCCAACTACTGTAATTATTCCTGCCATGTAAATGAAATGTAAAGAAGTATTTGCTGTTTAGTTTGAAGATTCATTTTTCTGCGTAACAGGATGAAGCTGGTAATCCGCTTGAAACGGAATTTGGCTTGTCGACTTACAAGGATCATCAGACGCTCACTATACAGGAGATGCCGGAAAAAGCTCCAGCCGGTCAATTACCACGAAGCGTAGATATAATTTGTGATAATGATCTAGTAGACTTATGCAAGCCTGGAGATCGAGTGCAGATTGTTGGAAACTATCGGTGTCTGCCGGGAAAACAAGGCGGATATACAACCGGAACTTTCAAGTATGTTTCAGACAAGAATCGAGAATTGTTTCCTAGTTTAATTAGGTCTCATAACCGTATATATTTATCTCGAAACTCACCGTAATAATTATCATTGTATAGGACGGTTCTAATTGCTAACAATATAATGCAACTGAGTAAGGAAGCTAATCTTGCGATCAGCCATGACGACGTAACTATGTGCAAGAAATTGGCTAAGAACAACCCCTGCAAGAATATCTTTGAGCTTCTCGCCAAGTCCCTTGCGCCATCCATACACGGCAATGAATATATAAAAAAAGCGATTTTGTGCCTCCTTTTAGGTGGAGTGGAGAAGATTTTACCAAACGGTACGAGGTTGCGAGGGTAAGCTTTTTTGCACAATTTATAGTTTCACTGAAAAACAGACTTCAAAATCCTCAATAGCTCTGTGCACATCGCACAGTGTTCACTAATGATGATTGTGTAATAATATAATCAGATCTTTTTGATATATGCCAGAGACATAAATGTGTTACTAATTGGAGATCCATCAGTGGCCAAGTCGCAACTACTACGTTATGTGTTATGCACTGCTCCACGAGCAATTCCAACCACTGGAAGAGGATCTTCCGGCGTTGGTTTAACGGCGGCGGGTACAGTCGATCAAGAGACTGGCGAACGCAGACTGGAGGCGGGCGCGATGGTCTTGGCGGACCGCGGTGTCATTTGCATCGACGAATTTGATAAAATGTCGGATATTGATAGGACGGCGATACACGAGGTGATGGAACAGGGAAGAATCACGATAGCCAAAGCGGGAATTCACGCCAGCCTGAATGCGCGCTGTTCGGTACTGGCGGCCGCGAATCCTGTGTATGGGAGAGTAAGTTCAAATCGTTTTGAAAAAGCTATTTGTATCTGATTCTGTTCAATGACAAAATTTAAACTTATACATTTCTGTGTAATTTACGAAAAATAAGCTTGAGTTGGATTCGTCTTTTAGCAAAAATATTTTTATATTAAAAATTGTATATTTAATTTTTAATTGTATATTTAATTGTTAATTACTCACATAAAATATAATATATAATAAATAGATTAATATATTAATTATTAAGTTAATTTTAAGAAATATATGAATATTATTTAATGAAAGCTCTCCACATTTTTAGTACGATCAGTATAAAACTCCCATGGAGAATATCGGCCTGCAAGATTCTCTATTATCGCGTTTCGATTTACTCTTCGTTGTGCTGGACATAATTGATTCGGATCAGGATCATATAATTAGCGATCACGTCGTCCGAATGCATCGATATAGAAGTCCTCTGGAACAGGACGGGGAGGCTCTGAGCTTGGGCTCAAAGTTGGATATGTTGACTACGAAAAATCCGGATGATGTAGCTACCGAGGAAACCCAGTCCCAAGTTTATCAGAAATACGATCCACTTTTACATGGGAAAACGCGTTCTAAAAAGTAATCCACTTTTATCATATTATATTTTGTTACATTGAATCTACGAGCTTTGATTCAATTGGTCTTATAACAATACGAAGCTCTAATTATGTAGATTTTATACAAGAAACTTATGTTTCAAATTTCTTTCTCAGCGACCAGATCCTCACTATACAGTTCATGAGAAAATACATACACATTGCACGGTGCATGAAACCCAAACTCACGGAAGAAGCTAGCGCCGTTATTGCAGAGGAATACTCGAGACTTCGATCGGAGGATATGGTAGAATCCGATGTTGCGAGGGTGAGTAGAAGGAAAACTCCAGACTTGAATTTTAAAAATATACAAATGCGTGTTTGACATTTTTTCGAATAATTATCAGACTCAACCGGTGACCGCGAGAACCCTAGAAACGCTGATTCGGTTATCTACGGCGCACGCAAAAGCACGACTCTCAAAGAACGTGGAAAGCGAGGATGCACGCGCCGCGATAGAGCTCGTACAGTTCGCTTATTTCAAACGCGTGTTGGAGAAAGAAAAGAGAAAACGGAGACGTCAAGATAGCGACGCGTCGGAGGCTGCAGACGAGATAGAGGAGAGCAAGCAGGCGAAGCGCTCTAAGAGGGCGAAAAAGACAGATTCGGATGAAGTCGATCCATACGAATACGATAGTGACGACGACTATATCGAACAAGCAACAACAAGAATAACCAGGTCACAAAAAGTCAGCACGCACACGGATTCGCACAGCACGGAAACTGAACGTCCGGAATCTTCCGTTTCCGAAACAACCACCGTTCCTCAAACAGCGACTGCAACAATCACGCAGAAAAGGTAATTTGCTGTTAAATTAATTATGCTTTATAAATTAGTAGAATCATTAAATAAATAGTTATATAAATTTTATTTATACAATTATTACGTAATGACAAAATTAATATAATCATTAATTAAATAAATGATTTTTTCTCGCGTGATTTTCTTTACGCCTTAAATTTTCAACATGTTATTTTTATATTTTTATTCTGTTACGTGTCTGTTAAAACAAAAAAATGAAAGTTGCAGAGAAAGTATATTAATTTCTTTCTAATTTTAGACTTGCGATCTTCAAATCGTCACTTAACAAATTGTTCCAAGAACGCAGGGTTCAGAATATTCCGAAGACAGAAGTCATCGATCATCTAAACACAACACTTTCTCTGAACTTCACATCCGATGAAATTAACGCCGCTATTAACATTATGACGGATGCAAATCAGATTATGGCAGTGGAAGACCTTATCTTCTTGATATAAAACGTTTTTATAATGTTTCGTTATTATGTTTTAAACAATAACCGAAGCAAGTGATATTTTTAGACTATTTATCAGGTAAAATAAAATTCCTAATCACTCGCTGTAATTGATTAGATATGAGAAACAAGAAATCATTCATAGGTACAATGAATAATTTTAGTTTTTTTTAAATAATTTATGCAAACCTTCTGGACACAAATATTTTTTTATACCGTTTATAATTATTGCTAGGAATCGAATAATAATATGTACACGTTTATGAATAATGATATCTAATAACATTTATTTGCCCTATACTCGATAAGACAATACATTGGCACATAAACTAGCAACAATCATCAACATTCATTACAGTAAACGTAATGCGGTTCAAAACGTTAAATCCGTTTTCCGCTTCTGTAAATATATTATGTATATGCATAACATTCATCGTGCGTGTGTGCGTATGCGTATTATTGCGCTAACATCGATCGCGTTTCGCTAAAGGTTCGTTTCACAAATTTACTTGCGACCTACTCGCACATCGTCTCGTTACAAAAACTTACGACAGTCGTATATTTAATATATAAATGCTCCATTTATCTCTCGTATGTTCAACATACACAATATAGAGAGCCGACGCAATCGCGTTTCAAAATAAATTATGCCCTCCGCTAAATAATTCTCTTGATTGCACAACCCTCCTGTTCAGTAAAGCGACACCCGTAACAGCGTTACTATATTAATTAATTAACAGAGATAATAACATCAACGGTCACGCTAAAACTTTTATAACTGTCAATATCAAATCAATCGCGTAGATCTATGATACAGGCCTTCGGGACGTATTCTTGTTGTAAGGAGGAAAGAATCGACGATCTGCAATGTCCTAACATTTTCTTTTTTTTTTTTTTTTCAGACAGAATCAGTACCCTCTTCACGACAAAAATATCTACGACGAATCCTATGCTAATTGTACTCACAGTTGCCCTTAATAACACCATAATCGACTTTAGCTACTAACTCTCACAATGATCAACTTCGTGTCGTACAAAATTTACTACATACAATTATAATTATCTCGAGACATTTTAAAACTAGCTGATGATGCATGAATGATAGTACGTGAATGATGTACGGAAAAGTTCTTCAAAACACATATACATCGAAATCTTTTAACAAACTGATATTTCGAGGATTCAAGCATTTTTATATGATTTGACATACGGCAGTGATGTTCCGAATTCGATACGAAATGTCGCGAGTATATGTGTGTTTTGATAATTATAATTCTTTCTCTCTCTCCCTCCTTCCCTCCCTCTCTTCTGGTAGGAAATCGATTTTTCTAACACGATGAGCTTCGATGAAACGAAAGATTTGAACATTTTTGCTCGCTCTATGCACACTGCCTTGGACGTAGTAAAATATTAATATGGCTTTCAGCAGTGAAGGTGGCGAATTGCGATCGAAGCTCAACGCATTAAAGTTCCTCGAGCTTGGGCGAGTGATTAAAATTATTAGGCACATACCACATTTCTCCTTGGATCTTCATCCTCACTGAATTGCAAAATTCTTAGGCTAAGAATTCGTCTTTTCAATTGCTAAAAGTAGGAATCCTCAGTTCACAATCTGCTACGATCGTAATCTATGTCCATGATTTTGAAAAGTTCAGAGTTCGTCCTCGCTGGACTCGCTGCTGTAAGCCAATTGTTCCTTCCACCATTCTCGAACTTCCAACATAACGCTGGAAACTTTAGGCGCGGTTGCTTTGTTGTTCAACGCTTCCCTTGCCTGCCTGCTTTGCTCCGTATTTTCCGTCAAATGATGCAAATTATTTTTCACCATTGCTACAAAAAATAATCCGAAATAACTCTGTGCCAAAGATAATTAATACGACACATTGTACGAAAGCCAAGTGATCACTTTAGCTTACCTGGCGGTCTGCTATTCCTCTTCTTCGACGCTGCGATTTTATCCTTCTCGGATCGAACAGATGCTGGATCCGATAAGGTTGGTGCTAGGTACTTCCTTCCCGAAGCACTTCCTATGCTGTCCGATCTTGGAAGCACCATGGGTTTCTTGGCCCTGTATTTTGGAGCTTCGACGTCCTAACAAGATAACAAATTTTGAAAACAAGATAACAAATTTTTTTCATCAAATTATATAATTTTTATTACTTTTTTGAAATCATAGTGATGGTACAAATTCTAATTTTCATAAATATAGAAGTTGATATACTTAAAAATTGTTTTAACAAAAAATGTCACTGTTGAATATCATAGATTTGTGACATAAAAATATCAGTTCACATTTTTCTACAAGAAATGTTTGGGGTGTAATAGAGCAAATAAAGTGCGAGATAAGATGCACCTTTATTTCAATCTCCTCTTCACGATCAACACTAACTTCCTTGCCTTTCTCCTCTTTACCCTTCTCTATATCTTGAGGTGGCACAGCCGCATTATTTGTAGCGCGAAGACCGGCGATAAGACTGTTTTGTTTCTGCAAAGAAAAAAAATTATTTAATTTTTTTGATACGATTTCAGATTAAGTCATCCTCACCGCTCGTATCTTCTTCAGACAGCCCTGTAACCAAGTTCTGATGGTTTGCTTAGCTACTTCCTCCTCGATTATATACTCGAATTCTTGCCGTGCAAGAAGTTCTTCCAATTGGAGCGCTTTCCTTATATCCACTGAGCGATACGATAACATACTAAAAAATTTTAAATAAGAAAACATTGTAAAATATTCGAATAATGTAAAATATAATATGAGTGAAAAATTCACGAATTGAAATATTTAAAACATCTAATAAAAAAGAAGCTACGTCCTATAGAAGATCTGAGAAAATCTCAAGCATATAAAAATTTTACTTGACAAGCTATAAATGTTTAATATTTCACATGGTGGGATAACACTTTAGTTGCTTATGATATAATTATGACATTAGTTCCGTTTTTTAATTGCTCTTAGATTATTAGGTTAATTGTATTCTTAACTGAAGAAGACTCTGCGAGTCGAAACGTTTTAATGTATAAGAATTGAGTGATATTGTATCTCAAATATATATTTTTATGGTAATCTAATAACTTTTATGCTCATTTTTGGTCGTTATCTTGTTGTTTTGCTTTGTCAAATAATCGATTGTTTTATATTATTGTTTAATATGTCATTTACAATCCATATTGTGAAACTTACTTAATAACGTCGTGAAAGGTAACATCTTCGCCATTGTGCAATCGTTCGAGTTCGTAGCACATGTATTTGAAGAGCAGGCGATCCTTTTGTGGATCGGTCTCCAATCTGCCTTTCAACAATCGCAAGATAAACTTCACCTGAAATCCGCAAACATCAGCATTTGCTTCTTAGGAATTGGTGTATTATTTCGTTAATATAACATCGATTCACGATAAAATCATACCCGCTTCACCGGTATAACACCTTTCTGATGATTATCAACGACATTCCACGTGTTCTGAAAGTTTCTTATATCTGCGTACGATAATAACGCGTCCTCTTCATTTGAATAGAATAAAGAAAAGTTCTCCATGATAATAGCTGTTCGAAAAGAAAAATGTTCAATCTTTGTTTTATTCCTTTTAAATTACTCTATAGACATCTAATTAAAATATGTATATATATATATATATACATATTATCGAACAGAAAAATTAGATTGAAGCCACTATATAATAGAATATTTTCTGTTAAACAGTCTCCTTTCTTGTCTGATCTAAGACAAGAAAAGAAATACAGTGTGACTTTTTAAAATCTAACCAACGTGATTTTGTGTTCTCTCAAGCTTCTTTGATGTATATGTACAAGTATATTGCATACATACCCACTAAAAGATTCAAGACGATGTAAGTAATGATGACGTAAAAGGTGCAAAAATAAATTAGAGAAGCGTGGAAATTGCCGCAGTCCGTTTCCCAGTAATTATCCGCCGGCGTGCAATAGGGTGGTTGTATCATGCAGTCGTGCATAATTTTGTTCCAATCCTCCCCCGTCACTATGCGAAAGAGCATCGCCACGCCGGTAACCGGTGATTCGAAATTAGCGCGTCTAAATTGCAAAGAGATTATTTCTGACATATCAAGCGGAAAAAAGCAGAGCAAGATAAAGAAATATTATAATAGAGTGAAAAAGAATTTAATACTAGAAAAATTATATTGGGAGATTTATATTAAACATTGCGCGTGTATATTTTATATATCTTAAAATCGTAGACAGTGTATACTTTTCTCACCTTCCTATGCCTTCTCCGTACTTCACCGTGCCAAAGATTATAGTGCCGGCTAACGCGTAGAAGAAGACAAGAAGAAACATGCCGAATATGATGAAGAAGCTCTTGCAGACGGACACACCAACCGTCAACATTAGCATCTTGAGAGTGGTGTGTTTGCCGGTGATGGTGAAGAACCTCAAGATTACGACCATAAATCCAATCACGTAAGATAGATCGTTCTGAGATACAATAAAACATGATAATACCATGGGAATGAACGACAAGTGGTAGACGAAGAAAAAATACGACAAAGGATTCTTGACGACGAGCGTACCTGCATTGTGCAGTGTATGATTATCCAAATAACGCCTACAACTGTCACGAGCAGATCGTACCTGTTTCTCCTGGATTGCCAATAACCACGCGGTGTAAAAGCAATGTTTTTCATAATTACTTCCACAAGGAACACCAGTGTCAGAATCGTGGAGACCATAGCCAGAGCTTCTGTGTGTTCCTCTTCGAGTCTCCACTTCAGATGAGCAAGATAAAAAAAGAGGAAAGATAGCAGATTAAACACGAGCAGGCATGTTACATTTATTTTTACCGGTTTAATGATGACAAGGAACAAATGATTCAAGAAAAGTCTTCTTACGATGTTCGTTGAAGTTGCATATTTCTTTTGATATAGATCAAACGCTTGATTCTATGTAACAATGTTAATAAATCCATAAAAAACTAAATAGAATATCAGGCTAGTCTATAAAACTATTTTTCCTAATTTTGTGATTAATCTTTGCGGTATATGACGCGTAAAAATTATGATTTAGCACAATTTTACACAATTCCAAGCATACACTTACTATAATTAATAATATTCCTAAAATTAATACATATTTTTGTAATTCAATTATCAATAAATAACCTATTTAAAACCACGAGTGGATAGATATTGTGTTAAGTAAAAATGAAATGATTAAAGAAATAATCGGCCTTGAAAAATATCGAATCTCAATCTATATCCAAATATTACTTTGTTCAACTTACAGAAACGCACAGAAGAGCGCTATTCACGAGTACCATGACAGCAATGAATCTTTTGAAATAAATGTTCTGCGTGATATCATAGATGAAAGCACGGAACTTCTTGCCGTCCGGTCTAGGCGGTAAGTGCAGCGGCTGGGCGATCTTCAGACGTTTCTTCAAGTCGCACCTATACCCCACAGAAAAAAAACTCGTGATCTAGATATTTAAGAAATCGCGATATTTACTGACGAAATATGCAACATCTCACCATCGTCTTTGATCGACCGTGAGCAAAGCGGTGCCTTTGTTCTCGGAGTAATTCGCGATCACCACACCCACAAACAATGTCAAGCCGATCATGCAACCGAGGAAAATATAAACGTGTATATAGATAGCATGAGCCTGAAAAAAGATACAATAAGATACTGAAGAATGTGACGAAGAAATAATATTCTTATCTAATTCCAAATTTTGTAATTTTTGTGTTTAGTGATCATCTATATTAAACAACATAATCTATTATTCTGTCAAAAAAATAATGACTCACGGGACCAAGAGCTTTAATAAGGACATCTCGTACGTCAAGCCAGCCTTTGAAAGAAAGTACTTCAAACAGAGCCATCATAGCATCGCCAATATTATCAAAGTTGAATCTTTTAGGATTAGC